AAAAAAGAAAACACGATCCAATCCTACCCGACGCAAATCGACAACAACGACACGAGTCTCATTTCCGGTTAATTCATTCGCACAAGGTATATTGATTTATCTTAACTTTTTACATTGTTTGGAGTTGTTTGGAAAATTGGAATTGTTATAATATGTTTGAATGTGGTGTTATTTGGACATTAGGAATTGTTAATTGTTTATCGAATATGTGTATATGTTGAATTGGAGATTGGAATTTTGTTATAAATTGTTAATTATGTATTTGTTGGTTGTTGTTGGGCTTAGGGTTTTCGAAATTAGGGTTAGAATTGGGGCTTTCAAAGTTATCCGAAATAATTGAATTTTTTTGGTGTTGGATTAGATATTAGACACCATGTGTTGTTGTAATTGTGAAGAATTGAAAGTGTCTTTTTGCAACAGGTATTAATGGCATTTTCCGGTCCATATTTTGTTAATTTGTACTGGCATTTTGCGACGGAAAGGTTAAGTGAATTTGTTTTATTTAAAGATCGTCCGGATGGGTCATTGTTTATTCCGGAGAGAATATCATATCAACAATTGGTAAAAATGATTAATGAAAATTGTTGGTTCGGAGAAGGTTGGACAATGAAGGAGATTACTTTAATAGTTGAGCAACGCTATGGTTCGTTGAATTTCTTAAGACTCAATAACGAAAGTGTTCTTCAGTATATTTATTACCTTACTCCTATGTCCACGGTGTATTTGCATTTATCGTTGGAGGCAATTACACCGGTTACACAGGTTGAGGATGTGTGGGGGTGTTACGGGGGAGAGGTGGATGTCAATGGTACGTCGACTTCCCATCTACGTAATTTTGGAGAAGGGACAAGCTCAACAATGCAATGGGAAAATGAGAACTGGGAAGAAGAAGAAGGCGATGAAGATTTCATTCCTGGTGAAGATGATTTCACTGATGAGACCTCCGAAACCGAATCAGACAGATCGATAAATGAGGAGAGTGAACCCGAATTGATTGAAGAGGAAGACCCTCTTCCTAGTGGTGGTCGCCACATTTATCGCGAGATGGGTGAATGGGAGCCATCGAAGATAGATGAGAACGAGTATGCTCTTCCACGTTGGAATGACGACATTGAGACCATACGTTTGGGTACAGTTTTTAAAAGCAAGGAAGAAGCACAATGGGGTCTGTTGGCTTGGAACGTTGATAGGCTGAGGGCGGTTCGGACAATAGATTCCAATCAGAAGTCATTCAAAGTGGTGTGCAGATCTAATGAAGATGAACCTTGTGTGTGGAAAGCTCGGGTGACTAAGAAACGGGTTCATGAAATGTGGGAAATACGTTTTACAATTAATTAATCGTAAAACGTATTCTCAGAATACGTTTTACGATTAATTAAACGTAAAACGTATTCTAAAATTTGTTTGGTTTTGTTTTGGGATCATTTGACTTTTGACGTATAATTTGAACACAGAAAATAACTTTTCACTTGTTCTGAAAACGGAATAAAATTTTCACACCACCAAATAATAAATTAATTTATTCATCCTGCAAAATAAATTATGCGCTAAACTCTGCGACAGACAGACAAAGATAATTGATAAAGTACGAAATAATTATGTGATAAACTATGCGACACACATACGAAACAATTATGCGATAAACTATGCGAGATACAGACGAAGATAATCGATTAAGTGTGAAGTTGTGCGATAAACTATGTGACATATAGACAAAGATAACTGATACAGTGCAAAAATATTATGCGACCAACTATGTGATAGACAAACGAAAATAATTGATGAAATGCGAAAATATTATGCGATAAACAGAAAAAGATAATGGATAAAGTGTTGCGATAAACTAGAATCAGAAAAGACGAAGATAATTAATAAAGTGCGACACACAAGCAATAAACTATGCGACATACAGACGAAATTCATTGGTTATGTGCCAAACAAATTATGCGATAAAATAGGCAACAGACAGACAAAGATAATATATAAAGTGCGAAATATTTATGAAATAAACTACGAGACGCACAAACTAAGTTCATTGAGTAAGTGCAAAATAAATTATGTGATAAAGTATGCAAGAGACAGACAGGGGCGTAGCCAAGATTCAAAGTTTATCTGGCTTTAATTATTTTAATAAAATATGATAATAATGTAAATAAACATGTTCAAATTTTGCAAATGAACTTCCAAACAGGAAGTTCGAAGCTTCAATCAATGGTCTGGTTAACCGTTGACTATAGTTTCTATTATGATTTGACAGTTCGATTACGCATTGCAAAATGTCATAACCGCAACTAAAAGTTTGGTTAATAAATAGAAAAAAAAAAATTGAAAATTTTGGGAAGGGAACCAACAAAAAAAAAATCAAAGGTTAATGATTACGAGTTGCTCTATGGCTCTGGAAATGAAGCTTTTTGGGCCGACGAGTCGCCTACCTCAGGATTTTCCTTTACGGGAGCCCGATAAGATGTTTTTTAAGAGGTTGCCGCCTGACCTGGTGACGGGGAGGGGAGGGGGGAATTACGTGAACCACTCGCGGTGGAGGGGTTCGGGCGAACCCTTTTCTTCTTTTGCTCAGTTTTCTTGGTCGATATAGCACCGGACATGAATCTCTCTGAAAGAAATAACGAAAATGGACATAAATACATGGCTCGACAAACAAAATAAAAAAAAAATATAGAGTGTCGCACAAACGTAAGATTAGGACTATTAGTGGTTATACCTTAAATCAAAGGGGCAACATGTTTATAGGTCAGCCTGTAAAGAGAGCGAAGATCAGCTAAGGAGGTGAGTTACCGTATATGATAGAGGATTTTATTCCACTCGGTCATTATGTCATCAAATCGAGCTACTTTTCTCGGTTCCACTTTTGAGTAGGAATTTCGGCTACCCACTCAGAGTTGAAACTTAAGGTACCTACAGGGGGATTGAGGAAGAAGAATCAGGATTTCCAATGGGTAATTTTTTTAGAAATTTCTCTAAGGTAGTCAGCTCGGTTGTAACCACTAAGGTAGAATGACCCACGTTGTTTCTTCAGGTTGTAGCTATAAAAAAAGAATTCAAGATCTAACTTTCGAAAACAATAGTGACTGAGAATAGTATAATCCACTAGTATGCGGATAGAGTTAGGTGTAAGTTGGTTAACGGGAAATTGAAATAGCTCAAAGAGAGCGAGCAAATCAGAGCGAATGGAAAAACAGAGACCACTAACTACTTGGTCGACGAAAAAAGTATAAAACCCAGGAAAAGGACGGTTGTACGAGCTGCCTATACAAGGAGCTTGGATGACACAATCAGGACAGAGCTCCCACAACCTCATGAAAGCCTTTATTTTAGGTTCCTCGGTAGAAAAGAAGGGAATAGGTCAGGTTAGTACCATAGCACCAGAGGCTCGCTCTACGATGGGGTCTACAGGTTGGTTGGCATTTACTGTTACATGGGCTTGACGAGCACGTAGCTCGAATTGCAATAGAGGGTTGCCCTCTGGAGGGTTATAAGGTAGCTCAAGGGAACTATTATCTACTATTTGGGTTAAGGAGTCCCAGGGGATGTCCCGGTCAACTTCATCTATAAGGCGTAAGGTCGATCTTAAAGGTTTGAGCTCGGATGGGGTTGGATGTAAGAGTTAGGGAATCATCAGAAGAGGAGCTCTCACTAGATTGAGAGAGGTCGGAGGTCGTGGAAATATCTACTAAATTAGGAGAACTAGA